TTGTTTTTTCTATCTAATCTTATGTTATCCCTTCTACTCTTCTAAAGTCTCCAAGGTAGTTGTTTTACTTTCTGTTTCCCTTGCTTGATGGCAAGTTCTATAAAGCAAAGACTGTCTCTCTTTACCTCTAGCGCCTAGCATGATGCCTGTCACTTGGTTGCCACTCAATAAATAGAAGATGAGATCCTCACACCTCTCTAGAGTTCTCATTGATCACGATTCTGAAATATCTTAATCTCAGGATTAGTATTTTTTCATACTACTTTTTTAATATTATCATATTTTTTAATATTACATGTATTTGTTTTATTAAGCTTATGTGGCACTAGGAATATTTCATTTTTAAGATTTAATTAATTCCCTTCTCTGTGTATTATTATTGTTTTTTAAAATTAATTTTTTTTTAGTTTGAGGTGGACACAATATTTTTATTTTATTTTTTTAATGTGGTGTTGAGGATCGAACCCAGTGCCCCATGCATGCTAAGCGAGCACTCTACCACTGAGCCACAACCCCAGCCCCTGAATATTATTTTTAATGTGTACAACTCATTTGTTATTTGTCTTACAGCATCCTTGATATTATCCTTTTTAGTATTTAATTCATTTAATATGTGCCACTTTGAACTATATGTTCTATATACTCCAGCACAATTAGTGTAATTTATAGAAGTCAGGTACTTGTTTAGTGGACAATTTTTTTCAAACTGGCATCTTAATTTGAAGAAAAATAGGTAAATTTATATTCTTGTGACTTATAGATTATCATTTCTGATTTTTTTTTCAAGTTGCTTTTTTATGTAGAAGTCTTTGAAAGATTAGTTGGTTTTATTTGAATGTGCATCTTTTTGTCCATTTTGAGGAAAGAATACTAATTTTCTGAGGAATTTATATAATTCCAATGTGGCAATATAGTCATTTTTAAAAAATCTTTCCTTTCATTCATTCAGGTCTGACCAGGGGGTCAGGTCTTTCATGTACATGGTCATGTACATTGTACTTTTTTTTTTTCCACCACAGGGGAAATTGTCCTTTTTTTCTTTTTATTCTTTATTTCTTATGATCTTTAGCTTTCTCACTAGATTTCTTAATTTTTGGACTATTTGTTCTCTTCTTGTTCATGGTTAAGCAAACAAACAAAAACAAACAAAAAGTTTAAGGTTGCCACAAAGTAAAGGAAGGGTGAGGAAGTGAAATGCCTTTCATACATTTTTTTTCTTTTAAATATCTTGTCACAAATTATAGAAATATTTGAGCAGTAATATGTTGAAAAATAATCACAATATATTTCCTTGTGCTACAAGTTAAAAAACAAAATGTAGCTTAAAGTTATCTATTTTTTCCTGGGCAGAGTGGCACACAACTGAAATCCCAGCTACTTAGGAGGCTGAGATAGGAGAATCACAAGTTTCAGGTCATCCTGGGCAAGTTAGTGAGAGCCCTTGTCTCAAAAAAAAGTGGGGTGCTGGGATATAATGTAGTAGTAAAGCACCACTGGGTTCAATCCCCAGTACCAAATAAATAAAAAGGGCTGGGGATATAGCTCAGTAATAGAGCACCCCTGGGTTTAATCTCCATTACCCACCCCCATACACACACACACACCAAAAAAAAAAAAAAAAAAAAATCCTGCATCTTGATTTCCATTATACAAATGAAAATGTTTTCATTTTAAAATTTTTCAGCAAACTACAAAAATTTTTGATACAAAATATAATAATCAAAACACTTGGATTTTCTATGCAAATGATGGAAATAAGATATTAATGTCCTCATTCATTTAATGAATATTTGAGTCTTATCTTTGTTCAAAGCTCAACACAGAGTGTTTGAGGAGGTAAAAAGGTTTAGTGTTCACATGGGTAGCAGAGATATAACATATTATAATTCCTCATGTTTCTATTACAAAAGCATTGGCTGCTGTTGGAATTCAGGAAAGAGGCCATGTTTCCAGCAATGTAAGAGGAAGGCTTCATGGGAAGAATGGCATTTGAACTAGGCCTTGAAAGAAAAGACTTTTTTTGTTGTTGTTAGGTGGGGATACTTCTAAATATGAATAATTGTTATTTTCAATATTCAGGGGAAAAGGAACATCTTGAATAAAGATTTGGAAGATATAAAAGTTGAGAAGACTATTTCTTTTTTTAGTTAATAGACCTTTATTTTATTTATGTATTTATATGTGGTGCTGAGAATTGAACCCAGTGCCTTACACATGCCCAGCAAGTGTGCTACTGCTGAGCCACAACCTCAGCCCCTGAGAAAAGACGAATTCTAAGTAAATAAATATTTCCAGGAAAACAGTCTGGCTAAAACAGATTCAGTTTATGGAGCAACTTAAGTGTTAGGCTAATAAGTGTAGCCTTTTTCTGTATTTAGGAGAACAGTGGAGGTTGTATTAGAGTTTACTTTGACAGATAAAATAGTGCTTTCCCACTACTTTTAAAACTTCCCCAATTAAAAATCATAGAGTATAATCATGAAAAAATGACAGATTGTGAGCTTTTTATATGTCTCTATAGTTAAGCTTTTTCAATATGATCTTCTAGCAGCTTTCATGACTTCAAAAATATTTCTAGTACAAAAAATAAACTTTTTTCCCTCAAAATTAACAGATTTCTATAATGGGCCAAATAAGGTAATATATGGGCCTTTTGGCCTTTATTCATGGCTGTTTAAATATTAACTGGCTAAAACAAATTTGCACTAATTCTCAATTGGCCACTTTTCTAGCTTAACACTTATTTCTTTTTATGTAACAATAGGTAAACATCATTATATAAGAAGCAAACTAATGTGAATTAAATGGCCCTGATATGCTTATTACAGTGTAGCATATGCCAGAGTTCATCAGGTCTTAAACCGTGCTACTGTGAAAGTTAATATTCATTTCTAGAACTTATTTTAACATTAGATCACCAATGACATTAGATAACTGTGTGTGTGCATGAGAGAGAGTGTGTGTGTGTGTACTGGGGATTGAACCCAGGGTCTTGCACTGGCGAAGTATGCCTTCTCCCATGACACATCTCCTACCCTGAAATTAGGTAACTTTGATGATTCTGCTTTGGACAAAAGAATTTGTGTGTGTGTGTGTGTGTGTGTGTGTGTATGTATATGTGTGTATATATATATATATCTCGAAAATTTGCAGGATTAGTTTTTGTTTAAGATAGTTAAGTATTCAAATGTGTTTGGATAATTAATGTTTTTTTATATTAATCAAGTAGCTAAACAATAAGTTATCTAAAACACAGTCTTTACTTTTTATTAAGCAGGTGATGGTACTTAATAAAATAAATAGCTCCATGAATTATTATCCTTCAGTCTTTATGTCATTTGTGCTATAAAAGTGGAAAATCACTAGATTACCCAGAAAATTTATGGAAGACAGAGACTGTTTTTGTTTTTTCTTATACATCTTCTCACAGGACTTGGTTCGGTGTGACATCTGTTGAGGTACTATTTAAGTCACGTGGCATCTAGCATGTGGTACTTTTTTTTTGCAACTAAGTAGAAAATAAATCTTCACAATGTGTATCAGAGATTCCAAATTGGGGGAAAAAAAACTATAATCAATTTATTTTAGAATATAGAACTTGTTTGTGTTAAGAATAACCAACACTAGGAAACTACTCCATAAGATGAAAAATATGATGAAATATTTCTTATTCTGACATTAACAAAGGGTGTTTTTTTCCCTTAATTTACTCTGACCTTTTTTGTTGACCACTTTTATGAGTTTTGAGAAATATTTTCTCCAAGAAAAGGGTTCTTCTTTGGTTAAATGAATCATATTACTGTAGAAAATTTGGAAAAGTTCAAAAATTCTAAAGAAGATTAATATTCACAATTTTCATCACCCTGAAATAATGGCTATAAATAATTTGGTATGTGTTCTTGGTAGATTTTCTTTGATATCTTGTGTAATATTGAATGACACAATTGACACTTTATTTTCCCCTGAATCATTTCTCATCTGAGAATTTTTGTGTCTTCATAGGACCCAGTGTTCTGTGGCGTAATATTTGCAGACTGCTGACATTTGGGTTTACTCATTTGCTTTAGTTTATTGACTTTGCTGACCAAGTTTTAAGAACATTAAGTCAAGAGTATTTGCAATACAAATGATACTAGAGATTTAATTGTCTTTCTCCTTTATTTTTTGATAAAAGCTTAAATGTTAAAATGTTTATTTAATGGGAGGGACTGACATAAAGCTTTTAATGTATAATTAACAAAAAGTCAAACTATTTCAACTAAGTAACTTTTTCTTGGTCAATCTGAATAGGATATGATATTTAACTTGTCTTTAAGTGATGTACCTTGTGGATTTTTCTATTAGCATTCTGGTTTTGTTGTTATTTTTTTTAATGATAAATGGGTTAAAATTTTCTTTAGCGGATCAGGGAATATACTGATACTATCATTTCTTTGTTTCCAACTTAAACATAACAGAAAAGGTACTGGACCTCCATAAGGGACACATTTTTTAAAATGAAAATACCTATTTATGCCAAACATTTGTCAAATAAGAACTAGAGGAAGTTGAATTAATGCCACCTTCAGATACATTACCCACCATTTCGATCCCAGAATTATTTGTCTCTTCTTAGCACTTTACTTTTGAATAAAATAACTTATCTAATATAAAATATCATGAAAAGAAATATTGATATCTTATAAGGGGTGCTGTCCTCCTGGTGTGTACTTTTCTTAAACTTATATAATTATTTAATTTCTGTTCCCTTTTTGGTAATCTTAGCTCTTCCCCTTATAGGATACAGGCCTTTCCAAGAGAAGCCTTTGTCCTTTTTCTGTTGTGCCCTGGTGATAGCATATGCTTAACAATGTGCCCAAGAAACATACATTGTATATGCTTTGCTCAAGACAGCTGGAAGGAAACATGAAGTTATTAGTAGATATAAACATACTCTGGTGGTCTTAGTTTTACTAAAATTACTTAAAAATCCCACTCACTTTATTTATCTTTATTTACAGAAATGCTGCCATCATTTCTTCAGAAAGTTGAGGTTGTCTCTGAAGCTTCTAGAGAAACTTGTGTAGCTTTGAGTGATTGCCTTAATCTCTTCACTAAACAAGAAGGGGTAGGTCCTCTGGAATTGAACTTTTTATATAATTGCTTTAATGTCACATGCTTGATCATCCAATAAGTCATTGCCTTTAAACTGTTCAAAAGTAGGAAGAAATTAATATTAACAAAGGAAAGGAAAGCATCATTTCTACCAAAATTCAGAACTCACTTATTCTTGATTAAGCAAGATGTTTCTGAAAAACCTATGTTCACTTCTCTTGAATTTATTGATGTAGCCACATTTAACCAAGTATATTTAACATTGCAATACCTAGGGTTGTGTGCCATTTCAATAAGATAGATGTGAAAATAACGATTTTTGTATAAAAATATATAATGCTTATATTTAGTATAGAGTGTATTGTTAATAACAATGTAAATTGAGCTCAGTGGATTAAGTTTTTTGGTGGTCTTTTCCTTTCCTCTCTTCTTATTCAATGATATGCCATTTTAATTTCCAGATTTCAGTAAGAATGGTATGCTTATCCATTAGTAATTATATTTTTTCTTTTTTCACCCCTAAGCATTGAGCCCAACACGTTGCACAAGGCAGGCAAGCACTTTACCACTGAACTGTATTCCTTGTTCTTTTTTAATTTTTTGAGACAGAGTCAAAGTTGCCAAAGCTGGCCTTCACAAAACTTGTGACCCTTCTGCCTCACCCACCTATCCCAGCTTAGGAATTCTTTTTCTAAGGACTGAAAAGTCATAAAGATGTATTTTGGTTGCTTAAACTGGTATGATGGTGCTGTTGCCTTTTTTTTTTTTTTTCGTTTCATGACTTTAATGTAAGCCAAGGGGCAGTAGGCTTTCTTTTCCATTTTGTTACTTTCCATATCTATGTTTTGATCTTCAACATTTTACATCAATTAAGAATAATTTCTTATTCTTATTATAATTTTTACCTTTTGGTAAAGGTTAGGCTTTAGTAAAATAAAAAAGATAAAAATGGTATTATGTTTTGTATGTAAGCATCTAAATTTTTTCTCCATGATTAAAATGCAAGACTTGTAAATTCATAGACATTTTTTGGGGGGTTGTCTGGGGGTCAAACCCAGGGCATCACATATGGTAGGCAAGTGCTCTACCCAAGCCCCATGTACAATTTTTGAAATGCTGTGTTTGTTATGTGTACCACAAATTCCATATGTGAGTTTATTCCATATTTCCACATGGAAATATTAATCTGAATTCATTTTTTTAAAGTTCTGTGTTTATTTATGTTGATTAGTATGTGACAGACAGTAATGAATTCATTTTAAAGAAATTTATAGCAACTCTTTCAACAGAATTCTATTACTGTCACAGGAAAAGAATTGTTTTCATTAAGCCTCTTAAATGGTTGATTCTTTTATTACTTTTTTTTTTGGGGGGGGGTACTGAGAATTGAATCCAGGTGTCCTTTACCATTGAGCCAACATGCCCAGCCCGTTTTATTTTTTATTTTGAGGTAGAGTCTTGCTAAGTTGCTGAGGCTGGCCTTGAGCTTGTGATCCTTCTGCCTCAGCCTCCCATGTAGCTGGGATTATAAGAGTGCCACCACCCTGGCTCTCCTGCTCCCCTTTTTTTGGTTAGGGGTTCCAAGAATTGAACTTGAGGGCACTCAACCACTGAGCCACACTCCCACCCCTATTTTGTATTTTATTTAGAGACAGGGTCTCATCAATTTGCTTAGTGTATCATCATTGCTGAGGCTGTCTTTGAACTTACGATCCTCCCTTTTCAGCCTCCTGAGCTGTTGGGATGAAGTGCACCACTGTGCCTCCCTTTTAAAACTATTTTAAAAACATTACTTTTTATCTTTTTGATTTTTTTTTTAGTTTGTATGTTTCAAAATTAGTTTATTTATATGGAATAGTGATTTGGTGTTGTAAATCTGGATAGGATGATAGCATTGTAAAACATCTTTGAAATTAACTAATTTTGATGTCATAGCATTCAGGTAGTAGTTAGCATATTGTCAAACCAATTTTTTCTCACATATCTTATGTGGTACCTGATGGATATATTGAAAATGTTTTTTCTTTTTTTTGTTCTAGAGATGTGTGGTTTTAAGATTAAACCATAGATTGAATATGTTGTGTTGGTGTGTGTTTCATTTCTGGACATGTCAACATATTCTAATTTTTAAAGTATTAAAAAAAAAAGCCTAAATCCCTCTCTTTATAAACAGTCCAGATTTACAAGAACTATTAGCCCAAAGTTTAGACTATTTAACCCCTTTTAGACTCTAAAGTTTGTCATGAGGATTAAATACAATAATATAAGCAAAATTCTTAGCATAATTTCTGACTCACAGTAATCCTGAATAAAAGTCAGCAGTTAGTGTTCTGTGGGATTTTATATTATGATTATATATTATATAATATCATTATAATATTATTATATACATTAAACATGTTTCAGTTGTCAGTGGACCTTTATTTTATTTATTTATATGCAGTACTGAGAATTGAACCCAGTGCCTCGCACATGCTAGGCAGACGCTCTACCACCGAGCCACCACCCCAGCCCCTGGATCTTATATTATTAACTCTTGGAATTCCTCTTCTCTGGAAGTTTTATGTCTTTAACATTGTGTTTATGTTATTTTGGGAAGAGGCAGTATTGTCTAGAGAGAATTTATTTGACTACTTGTGGAATGAATGATTGTCGTGTTTCTATCCCTATTATTTAAGTGACAATAGACTACTTAAAGTTTCTGAATCTTCATGTCTTTATCTTTGAAATAAAGTGACTATGTAGAGAGTTTCTAGGAGCATTGATCTGAAAGTCTGGTGGACCTGTTTTAGATCTCAGTCTTTGTTTAATAAACTATGAACAAGTTTCTATAAAATGAAAATACATAAAAACCTCAGAATTGGGTATGGTGAGCAGGTGTATGTAGGTAAATAATTTGTATATAGGTAAATAATTTGTATATAGAGTATATTATATAGTGCATGAAACACAGTATTCATTTAGTAACTGACATTTAATTTTTCAAACTAAAAACTTTTAAGTAATTAAGCTTTTCAGTAATTTAATGAAATATCATGAATTTTCTTCTGTGAAATAAAATTATAGTGAGAAGACAACCCCCTCAAAATATTTGAAAGATAAGTGGCATCCTTGAAGTTGGTCTTTTAAATGATCAAGAATGACAGCTGAGGAATTTAATAATTGAAGTTAGAGTGGCATAATTATGCTGGGTAATACCTCATTATCTGGCATTATCAGTTATATTGCTATTATCTGGAAATTTTATTGAAAGAGCAATAATGAACATTGAATTCAGACCTGATTCTAATATCTGGCTCTGCTAACTAATTTCCCTTTCACTCAGTTTTTAAGCACATCTCCTTTTGGGTAGTGGCCAGCTAAAATATCCATGGATTGTTTTGAAAAGTAAATGAGGTCATATTGGCAAAATACCTGTGTTATACCTGTTGCAAAATACAGATCAGATAGGTGTAGTTGACCTCAGCTTTCATAGCAGCAAAGCTGATTTTATTCTGATAAATAAATGTTGGCAGTTATGTTAAATGTTACACATTTACTACTACTTTTTGTTTTGCCTTCTTGAGGTGCTAGAGATTGAACCTAGTGAACCTAGAGCCCCTGTGAAAGCTTAGTAAGTTCTCTATCATTGAACCATACCTCCAGCTCACACATTAAATCCTTTAATCCTAAAATTCTGAAACTTCATATTTTTGGGGTGCCTTAGGAGTATTGTTTTGTATGTTAATAATTATTTGGTGCTTTAATATAGAAATATCTCAAAGGATAGTATTTATAGGACTGCCTGTTTTTCAGCTAAATGACTCAGTCATGCTGATGCTTTTTTTTAATATTTATTTTTTAGTTGTAATTGGGCACAATACCTTTATTTCACTAATTTATTTTTATGTGGTGCTGAGGATTGGACCCATAGCCGAAGAGGCGAGCGCTTTACCGCTGAGCCACAACCCAAAACCTGCAAGATTATTTTCAGGGTGGAATACTTGGAAATGTAATATCATCAAATGTTAATGTTGTGTGTTTAATCTTGTCTGAGAATTTCATTTAAAAGGCTAAAACTGGTTTCATGGGGAATTTTTTTTTTGTGGGGAATTGAATCCAGGGGAGCTCTACTACTAAACTACACCCAGTCTTTTTTTTTTTTTATTTTTGAGACTGGGACTCATTAATTTGCTGAGGCTGATCTTGAACTTGCAATCCTCCTGTATCAGCCTTCCAAATTGCTGAGATTACAGGTGTACGCCACTGTGCCTGGCTATGAATTATTTTTGTTTCTATAGTTTTCTTCACCTCAATATGGTCTCCAAAGTGCTGAAATGTCACATGGAATCATCATTGGTGCTCTCCGATTCCCACCTACTCCTTTAGCTAGAATCTATGACTACTTAGATATCTACCTTAGATATGTACTGAGCTCTGAATCAGTATATCAAGCTACCATTTGGACATTTACATATGGTTATATCAGAAGCATTTCAAAAACCAATGTATCTAAAACTGAGTTATCCCTTTAATTCAGAGAAGTACAAGCCAGGATCATAGGGAGCTGTTTTTGGTTCATTCTTCTGTATCATCAAGCTCTCTTGATTTAGTAAAAGCAGTTTGTTCAATTTAGGGATTTGCCTATTTGAAGTTGGTATAATCTCACTTACCATACATTTTATACTTTCATGTTATGTCTTTTGAAGAGGTGTGACCGAGGTGTGCGACTGGATGATGGTGGTACTAAGTGTGTGGTGTAATGAAATATTCAGACTCTAAACTGGAACCATCTGAAAGTTTGGAATTTATACTACTCCTCTTGGACTAGGCACTGATATATATTTGAAGAGCAATCACACATCCATGTGATTTACAACTCAAGTTAGGATTTCTGTTTGTTTAGCTTCCTGTGCTTTCTAATCATTTACTGGGTTTGTGTCCTAAAGGTTGTAGCAATAGCTCCTTCAGGCCTTCACCCTCCCTTAACTCTCTCATCTCTACAGTTTCCTCATCTCCCTATGTTCAGAGCAG